AGGGACAAGGCCATTTCGGTGAACTTTAGTGTCCGAACCAATGAAATTGTCGTCGGAGGAGGAAGATCTTTCATACCGATCGGGTTGCTCCATGTGATTTTCAGAGTGCTGTTCGAAAATTGGCACATTACGGATATCAGAATACAATCTTCACGCCCTGTCATGGCATGCACACGGGACTTGACGACCAGTTGGGCAATATGACGAAGTCAGACGGACCAGGTGCTTCTGATGAAACTTTCACATAAACGATACCGCAAAATCAAATGTAACTTGTCAAAAAAAGAAGACATGTATAGATTCTTCATTATTTATCCAAATGAAGACTTGAAAGGGGACCGATGACAATTTGAATTGAATATGCATCACCTTGTATGGTGTGACAGCAATGCCAACACTCTCCCAGAAGGATATGACGGTTTTCAACTGCAAAATTGAAGAGAACGAGACAAAATATCCTAGCTGTGACCTGGTAGAAAACTTCTCATGTGAAGCACTAAAATGCGCGCACTAGAGTCCTTCTATCGTTCGATGAATACCCTACCTTACGGGAGGGAACATAATCGAGACAACCATGTGAAATCAGATGGCTTAAACAGCCAGCTGTTCTAACAAGGTAACCACAGATATACAGAGTCAAGGACGGGTGTGACTTATACTGTGAAGTAAGCTTCTACGGTGGATCCAGACGAAAGGAATTCCGGAAATTTTTAGGACGCATTCGATCCGTCAAAATCAGTTTAAATCTATCTGACCAAACTTTAGTTTGAAGATTGGATAAGTCCGTGCCGGTCATTGACAAATATGGGGCAAATGGAGCATTAGTGATTACCAATTGAAAGAATGCTCATTTCTTACAATTATTCGATTAAAAGATGAAATGAAAAGAGGACCATGTATTCATTTCTTCCCGCATCAATAACCAAATATGATAAAAAGGGTAGCCAAATATTCTCACTTGATAAGTCTTCCATATTGATTCTAAAACGAGTTGTACGAAGACGGGTTTTCGATTGTGTTTTCGAGCATTCGGTTTGAAGAGTGTCTGTGCATTAGGTGCGTTCCCGCTTTTTGACATGTAATAGTCACCCCAAATTACTTCTTTTAGTTGCGTCACCGGCAGGTTCAAACGTTTGGACCAAACATGAACGAAGTCTGTTGGACGGAAACCCCACGTATCCATGGCAGACGCGAATACCACATTGCCACGATCAGGTGAGAAGTACAGATTTGAGTCATCGGTGGCATCTAGATCGACAGTTAAATCATATGTCAAATGCCCCGTGCTTTGTGCAGATGAACTGTCGGACTGAGTCAGGTAGGGAGAAGAAAAGCGTATTGAACCAAACAAATAAAAGAGGAGCAGAATAAACAATATTAATTCTAGATCGCCACGAGCAGTGTACCGACTGAGGATGCAGGTACATGAGTAGTCCTTGTGATTCGGTCGTTACACTGATCAATGATAAAATTCATTTAACCGGTGAGTTCTAGAGTAATAGGGAATGGCTATAAACTGGTGCTGAAAAGTAACCACCGAATGATAACGGTTAGCGCGTTTAACGACTTTCGCTCCAGCAATAATTCTCTAGGAAGCGATGGGTAAGGAATCTCTGTGGGCATCTCTTTTCTCGTTTTTCGAGTTTGACAACGGACGAAAAATGCTTCAAACCGTTGCAAAGGCCCCGGAGAAGTGATATGCAAAATGACTTAAATGTGAAGAACAAAGAGGATGGAGTTTTAAAGATTTATTGTCTGTGATTTTTATTGACCACCTTTCGAACTGCATCTTCAAAGATACCCTTCAGTTGATGCATTCAATCTCAAATTCGGGAAGGACTATCCTAGAGTTTCACTTTCGTTAGACTTCATTAGTAGTACCTATTCATCAGATGGTAGGTGAAATCAACATTCAAACGACGCGACACTCATTCATAACAGATATTGTGTCACCCCGATCTCTATGATCGGTCACGGTAAATCGAGGATAGTGATTGACGATTTACACAATTGCATTCTCACGGTTGCATAGGATGGACGAACTTAGAACCACACAATGGACGCATGGCAATCATCTCTCATTCAGCATTTTATACCACCTATCCGTTCTCAATGGTAGAACGCAAATGCGAATTGCTCGATGAGAAAAGCGGAAGATCTTTTTATCATACTGCGTTACTCATATGCATAACTGGGGATTAACCTACACATTTCATCGGTGTTTATTTGATTGATCTCATGTCTAGTAGCTGGTGGGAACTTGTACCAGTTTTGTCGAACAACTTTAGACATCATTAGTGGTGGCCTTCTGCGTTCCCAGGTAAAGAGGATTACATTTAGATGGTGAGTGTTTGGATTAGCTCATTAGGTTTTTCACAGGCACTGATGACAATCTTGGGGATGGGGTTCACCGCTTGGGAGATCATGAATTCCCGACCAGGAAAATGCATTCAACTGAGATGAAAATCTTTGTGATAACCGACAAAGGGAACAGCTGTTTCATCCTGTTTGGGACTCGACAGCAGTGCGCACTTTTGTGTCCCTGTCAGGAGCCGAAGAGCGAGTATTCGGGTT